TATAAACTGTTCAAACAGGTTAAGTTAACCAACTACGATCAGTCTGGAAGCATACATATAAACTGTTCAAACAGGTTAAGTTAACCAACTATGATCAGTCTGGTAGCATACATATAAACTGTTCAAACAGGTTAAGTTAACCAACCACAATCAGTCTGGAAGAATACACATAAACTGTTCAAACAGGTTAAGTTAACCAACCACGATCAGTCTGGAAGAATACACATAAACTGTTCAAACAGGTTAAGTTAACCAACCACGATCAGTCTGGAAGAATACATATAAGCTGTTCAAACAGGTTAAGTTAACCAACCACGATCAGTCTGGAAGAATACACATAAACTGTTCAAACAGGTTAAGTTAACCAACCACGATCAGTCTGGAAGAATACACATAAACTGTTCAAGCAGGTTAAGTTAACCAACCACGATCAGTCTGGAAGAATACACATAAACTGTTCAAACAGGTTAAGTTAACCAGCCCCAATCAGTCTGGAAGAATACATATAAACTGTTCAAACAGGCTAAGTTACCTGGCAATGATCAACCTGGAGGAGGGTTTGTTCATTGAATGTAATTCAAAGCTACTCAAGGGTTATCAGCACTAGCCATCCATAATTTTGAGCTAGAGGGAAGGCAGCTAATCAACACTGCATACCACCAACTTTTAGGCTTCTCTTTAGCAATGAATAGTGAGATTGACCATTAAATTATAATGTTCCCACAGTTCAATGGGCAAACATGCTTGGTTATAGGTTTTCAATCCCACAGATTGTGAATCAAATGCCATAACCACCTGGCCAGGCCATGGTGAAGAGATTTATAAAATATTATGAAATTTAAAACATTTCACAAAATTTACATAGTTTAATTATAAAGTATTTTCAGACATACAAAGGTTATAAGTACAAAATAAATCCAAGTTTCAGCATTCTGAGGTAAGTAAACAGATACTTGATTTACTTCCTACATGTTCAGAAATGCCTACTAGATAAGTTCTACTTCTGAGATGATAAGAAAACATAAATTCAACCTCACACACAATTGCAAGAAGCTGTCATTTTTTATTTTACTGAACTGACCCCAAAAATGATTTTTGTTCACTTCACAAAGTTCAAAATAACACATTTTCCATTTTGTTTAGCCATTAAGCATTCTTCTATTACGACAGTGACAACTGAACTCGAGGAAGAATTGGCAGAAGAGTAAAGTGGCCCTGCAGTTTATAAAATAGCATTATCACAAATATTACCTGAAAGGGACCGTCACTGTGAATTAAAGCTGTGGGTTGCATGGGAGAAGACACGAGTCTCACTCTCAATGTTCGAGGAACAGATTGAGCAAAGCTGACAGACAAGTCACTCATGGCATGATAAGCATGGCTCATGTAATGTAGAACTTGAGATACCCTATTAAATGTCTGCTGAGCTTCAGTGTGCTGTAAAACAAAGAGAAGAGTGGAATTCCTTCACTGTAATACATAAATTATCAAAATTATTTCAAATACAAGATATCTAAAAATGAAAAATAAGAAGTTAATTTTGTATGCAAGTTCCTTAAAACGATTTTCCATTTTTCTAAAAAAAGTACCACAAATATTTTTATGCAAAATTATTAAATCAAATGTTCTACTGTTAAAAGAAACAGGCAAAGGCATGTAGTATGTAACTCTGAAATAAAACCAAATCTAATAATCTAATAAAGTTTGTCATTTGTATACTTTAATAACAGAACAGTACTGTTTTTTGTTCTAGTGAACTAAAGACTAATATTTGTGACTTTGGTGTTGGGTACGTTAGAATGGCTGAGAAAACCACTTGGGGAACATTCTGAGCTTCCGATTAGTTATTCATGTCATATATAGAAGTGTATAGAAGGAAGCATTTCCAAAAATGGAAAGAGGTGGTCAGTGTGCTACTGTGTTTGATTTATTACATAAGCAATATCTTAGCAAATAGAAAAGATAAAACCTTCTTATTTTATATTCTATCTTGTCAATATCTGTAATTTGAGTTTCTAATTCATATGAAACTATTGACTTAGTATTTTGACTTCACAAACATCTAATTTGAACCAGTGCTGCATTCAACATACCACAGTATTTATCTGTTGTTTTATATTTACTTTTAAATTAATAAACTCAGTAATTTATAGTTCTAAAATCTGAATTATAATCTACAGTTTGATACCAAACTTATTGAGATAAATTCATGAAATAGTAGTTCAATAAAATGTTGATTGTTAGTCAACCAACAAGATGACATGGCCTTTCTCCTGTGACCTATCTCGAAAGGGTTAATAACAGAACAGAGCTGTAAAACATTTAAATTCAATTGTTGTATTGTTAAAATAAACAGGCAAGTATGTTACTCTGAAATTAAACCAAATCTAATAATCTAATGAATTTTGTCATTTGTATACTTTAATAACAGAACAGTACTGTTTTTTGTTCTAGTGATCTAAAGACTAATATTTGTGATTTTTAATGACATTAAAATCTTATTTACTCTACTACTGATTTAAATAAGAAAAGATGTAATCCAAAAAGCAGATCCATCATCCTGCACCATATTGACTCATTAGGATCAAATCACATGAAGTACACTATTTGCATATTTATCCCTTGTTTATCGTCTAAGCCGTATTTATTTTTTTTTTATCAATCCTGACACTTTGTCCACAATAACAGCAAGTAACACTTACATCATGGGAGACAAAAATTGGTTCAACTTCACCAAAGAACTTTGAAAAAAAAAAAGAGAGATTCAAACAGAATAAAATTAAATATCGTAGCTACCACATCTCATCTGAGATGTGGTATGGAGTGCTATTTGATATGAAAACATTCACTTCCCATTCATGGTAACTGTTATAATGACGCTGATTCGATCATGTAAAAACAAACACCAGATCTTACAATACAAGTACCTGTAAAAGTTACAAGGAGCTATTTAAGAACCTGGAAAACTTAGGTGATACCAGCCAAACTTTGAAAGATGATTCAAAATATTTTTCATATTTGGATATAACAGAGGTAAAATGATATATGATATATCAATGATATGTAGTTCCTTCCACATCAATTAAAATAACTTGTCAACAAGATTCTCTTAAAAGCAATGATAATTCATATATATATATATACTCATTTCCACTCATAAATTATAATTTTTCTGAGATGCTCATTGGATATTTTGTCACCATTATTTCTTTCCAAAACTTACATTGCCAGAAAGATCTGGATCATCTCGCAAAAGTTGCTGATATCTTTGCAAGTGAGGTTGAAGCCTTTGGTTTAACTGGTTGACCTCTTCTACTAGTGATGACAAAGCTTGAGTTCGTGGGTTTTCTCTACGAAGCCTGACAACCTGGGGTCCAACTGATGCCCCACTACTTTGACCTAACCCAGGAGCAGGATCTTGGCCTCCACTTGTTGTACTTGTTGTGGTGGTTGTGCTTCCATCTGAGCTCTGACGTGTACTTGTTGTGGTGCTTCCTAAAACCCATAAATAAAATATTTTGAACCTTCCATAATGATATAACATCAAACCTTTATAACAAATAATAAAATAGCATAACTAACAACGCATTACGTTATAAGCAGCCTCAGACATTATACTTTCTGCACAGTTTAGCATTAGCAACTGGCAAACTGATGTTTTCTAACAGTACATAAAACTTAACTCACATGATATAATCAACTACTTTCATACTTTACATTACAAATGTAATTAACATTTTTTTTTCATCCATTAGAAAAAATTCAAGGTACATAATTAATACTTTTATGTGCGCCTACTTCCACAATGAAGCATTTGGCATCACTACAGTTAAACAATTTATAAGCAATACACATGATAGACTGAGAATTAATAGGGTTTCAACAATAATTAAAATACAGATACTTATTTAAAGGTTTTGCATTAAAACTAAAAATAAGTTACATTAAAATACTCCTCTTCCATCTTACTCTTCACAATTTTTATTATAACAAATAATGCTTATGAATAATTAACTAGACAAAATTCTGAAATTCATTCAATGTTTTCTTTGCCAGTTTGTTAGCAATAACATAATACTGAAGGCAAGATTTATAGTTTATCAGTATTTGCTATCTGACATCACTGTGAATGCCTGAAATATTCAACGACTATTGTATATTCAAATTTGTTCTCTTTGTAGCAGAACAAAGTTAGTTTAAATAACTTAAATTTCTACTGGACTCACTACGTAACAACGTACATATCAAGCAACTACGAAAAAAAATAAAGTAAAAATATTTAAAACTGTTGTACTCTTCTCTTAAATAAAATATCAAAATATTTGAAAAATAATTTCAAATAGCTCTACATTCATGATTTCATACTGTCCTATAAGAATAAAATACACACACAATTCTATTTACGAAACTGCTTTAGCTAATTATCCTTAAATATATTTTTGACGTACAATAACATCAAAAGATAATGCATGCTGCTAACCTAACTGAGAGCCAGATGCAGTGAACATCAACGAACCTGCTGCAGCTCTTGCACCTGCTGCTACTGCCCCAGCAGCTGCTGCCATGGCAGCTGCAGCAGCAGCTCTAGCTGCTTGGGCTATTCCTTCTCCAAGTCGTCCTCCTGAAGCAGAAGTAACAGGGGTGGAAAAAGTTGGTGTTGTACTGAAGTTTGTTGTCTGTAAAAAAAAAAGAAATTCTGTATACTCTGTAAACTCAAAAAATACCAAAAGAAGGTTTGTGATTTTTGTAATATCTAAACATTTTCACACTATTACACCAGTTCAACAGTTAGCTACTACTCATTCACAAAGCAACAACTTCCAGAAGAATACTTCTATAAAAGTAATCAACAGAAAAATGTGGGTAACATTCAGGTTCTTTCAAATTAAATAAACAACATTCAACAATCATAACAGCAAATTCGATGACGAGGAATCCACCTTGAGACTAATAATGGCTTGTCGAAACGTTGTACATTTGCTGTTATGTTAAACTCAAATTAAAGTTTTCTTAACTCATCCCAGCCGTCTCCAGCCATTATTAATCATAACAGCAGGAACCAATAGGTTATAAAAATTAATAAATAGACCAATACTTTCAAAAATGTTAGTAAATTTTTATGATTATGCAAGCCCATACACTTAATGCTGACTATCTGAAAGACTATTAAATACAAGACCCTACTAGCTTCAACTAAGAAAAAAATTAACACTTTACAAAAATGCCTAAATGTGGTATTCACATGGTATGATACAAAAACATGCACTGACACAAATGGGCCAAACCAATACCAAGGTTCATTATTTTTTAAGTCCATGGCACTAAACTGAAATTTCATTTTTTTTTGGTCTGCACACTATATATATGTATTATGCTTCATAAACTTAACTACATGACTGCAAAATAAACTGCCTTTATATTTAAAACTGAACATTTAAAAATAAACTACTACTCACACATGGCCACTTCAGGAATTTTTTTCTTGTTAAATTTAATAATAAAAAAATTAACTTTATTAGAATTCTTTTTTCTACTTTCACTTTCCTTTCAGATACACTTTACTCGTGTGCTCAAGTAAAGCATGGAAAAGAGTAGGATACACTTTACCCGTGTGCTCAATTAAGCATGGAAAAGAATAGGATACACTTTACTCGTGTGCTCAAGTAAAGCATGGAAAAGAATAGGATACACTTTATTTGTGTGCTCAAGTAAAGCATGGAAAAGGGTAGGATACACTTTACTCGTGTGCTCAAGTAAAGCAAGGAAAAGAGTAGGATACACTTTAC